AGATACATAGCAGAGTTGAGCTTGTAGTTGCCAAAAATCCTTTTAGATATAGTCCCTAGGTTATAGTCCAATGTCCATATTCAGGGTGACTCCAGTCAGTGACTGGGGATCTCAATCCTTGTGGTTTAAGATTTCCCCCTCTTGAAACCCAAAGCAGATCTGAGACGAAGCAGAATCATGTCCCAGGGTTCTTATACATTTCCAGCAGCCTTTCGGCCTGCGAAAACAATAGGCTTAATTCTCCTTCCAAACATCCCGGCAATTAGCACAGGGTAATTTGTCCAGTAACCAGTTCAGATCCAGGTTACCACAACCTTCCAAGAGACACATAGACAATAATACTGTTTCACTCAAATATCATCATAAATGTTAATATTCCTTTTTCGATGTTTGAATCAAAGCTATAGCAATAGACAAGACTTGTTTGCTGACATCACAAGCCCTGAGCAAACATCTCCCCTTCTACCGCTAACACTGCAGGCTGCATTTCAAAGCTCTGCTCATTTATGTTTAGGGGAGGGATAGCTCAGTGCTTTGAGCATTGGTCTGCTAAACCCAGGGTTGTGAGTTCAATCCTTGAGGGAGCCACTTAGGGATCTGGGGCAAAATCAGTACTTGGTCCTGCTAGTGAAGGCAGGGGGCTGGACTCGATGACTTTTCGGGGTCCCTTCCAGTTCTAGGAGATAGGTATATCTCCATATATTAGAAACATATCTTCCTAACCAGTCTTTAAAATTCGGCCATGGGTCAGGTCAGTCTGGGAGTTAATTAACTCTTTCTGGCCCTGTCACCTTTCAGTGAGATATTATATTACACTCATAACGTCACAGCAGGGAGGAAGGAGCAGGTCGCACGGGGAGGAGGGCGCAGGGCTGCCCAGCGCCCCCCACTGAGCCCCTGCCCCGCTCCCCCCAGCCAAGCGTCCCCCGCCGAGCCTCCTCCCCCAGCCCCCGCCCCGCTCCCCCCCAGCACAGCGCCCCCTGCCAAGCCCCTGGCTCCCTGCAGGCCCCGGGGGGGGGGTGTCCGTGTCACCCGCCCGCTCTCCTGTGCCCAGGCTGTGAGTACGACGGGCAGCGGTACCAGGACAGAGACGTCTTCCTGGCGCCATCCAATTCCTGCATGAACTGCTCCTGCTTGGTGAGACCCTGCGCTCCGGGGAGGACAGAGGAAGGGGGGCCAGGGCGGGGGTCACAAGGGCTATGGGGTCAGGCCTGAGGGGCACCAGCAGAGCTGGGTGAGGGGAGCCCGGGGCAGGGCTAACAGGGGGCTGCGGGTTGGGAATAAGGGGCACCGGCAGAGCTGGGGTCCCCAGGGTTGGGCCCCGCCCAGCTCCAGAACAGCCCCTCGGAGGGGCCCCTCAGTGGGCCAGGCCCCCAGGGGTCCCGCCCTCCCGCCAGGGTGGCCATGCAGCCTCGCCACCCCGTATCCTGATCCTCCGGGGCTACAGCCAGGCCCCAGCGACCTCCGGGGCCAGGATCCCCCCAGGGGACGGGACCCCCCAGGGGACGGGATCGGGATGGGACCCCCCCAGGGGACGGGGTGGGGCTGGATCCCCCCAGGGGATGGGATCGGGATGGGACCCCCCCAGGGGACGGGGTGGGGCTGGATCCCCCCAGGGGATGGGATTGGGATGGGACCCCCCCCAGGGACGGGGTGGGGTGGGGTCGGGACACCAGCTGTGTCTCTCCTGCCCAGGACGGGAACGTCCAGTGCTTCCGACTCGTCTGCCCGCAGCTCCACTGCGCCACCCAGGAGGAGGTGCCCGGGGCTTGCTGCCCCCGCTGCCAGGGTGAGCTGGTGCCCCTCACTCCTGACCCGCAGCCCCTGCTATTCCAGCCCTGGACTCTCCCCCCTACCCTGCTGGTGCCCCTCACTCCCAACCCGCAGCCCCCCTGCTAGCCCTGTCCTGGGCTTCCCCCTCCCCACCCCACCCTGCTGGTGCCCTTCATTCCTGACCCGCAGCCCCCCTGCTATCCCCATCCTGGGCTCCCGCGCGCAGCTCCGCCAGTGCCCCTCACTCCCGACTTGCAGCCCCGCTCTCCCTGCCCCCGCTAGCCGCGGTCTGGGCTCAGCGATGGCCAGGGGCCCCGGGTGATGCCAGTTCTCTCCCGCCCAGGCTGTGTGGATGGAGCCGCCCGGCGGGAGCACGGTGAGGAGTGGGCGCCGCGTGCAGACCCCTGCCAGAGCTGCCGGTGCTTGGTAAGGCCACGCCCCCCCGTGTCGCTGGGCAGGGCCTGGGGACCCCCATCCCCACTGGCCCCAGGCCTGAGGCGCCCCCCGCTCCTCAGGGCAGCACTCGATCCCGAAGCTCCGCCCCCAGCCTGGCACAGGCTCCGCCCCTCCCATTATTTGGCTGGACCCTTTCCAGGGGCCTGGGGGTCTGGGTGGGGCGGGAATGCCCCGGGTTGGGAGCGGCTGCCCCCCGAGTGGCCCCCGGAAGCCTTGACCCCCCCCTCGCCCCACACAGGATGGCCGCGCCGTGTGCAGGAAGAGGCAATGTGCTAGGCTGTGCCGCCACCCTGCCAGCCCCCGGCCGGGCACCTGCTGCCCCGTCTGCGACGGTGAGTGAAGGGAGGGGCTCCTCATGGGGGGCGGGGCTGTGCTCCCTGGGGCCGTGGGGGGCGGGGCAGGGTCGATGGGGAAGTGGGTCTGTCCCACGGGGCCCTTGGGGGGCTGCCCCCCTCCCATTGCTGGATGGCTCCCTGGGGTGAGGGCCCTGGAGCCGCTGGTCCTGTTGGGCCCAGGCCAGGTAATGCCAGAGCCAGTGCTCCCCTCCCAGCCCTGGGGGCCCCTGAGGGGTGCGGGCTCCGTGGTCCCTGCGTGGGGGCCTGGCTGGTGCCAAGCGGGGCGGGGGGGTGAGGTGGGCACTGGGCTGAGGCCCAGCAAACGTGCTGCGTGCCCTGGCCGCGGGGCCCAGTGCCCTGAGGAGGGGGACGGTGTTGGGCTGGGGATGGGACTGTCCCCGAGGGGGGGGGGGGCTAGGGACTGGGGGGGCACCCTCAGGCTGCATCACTCTCTCTCCCTGCAGGCTGCTCGCTGGATGGCCGGGAGTTTGCCAGCGGGGAGCCGGTGCCCAGCGGGGAGCCCTGCACCCAGTGCGCCTGCTTGGTGAGTGCGCGGGCCAGGGGCGCCTGGCACTGCCTGTCTGCACAGCAGAGGGGCTGGGGAGGGGGTGGGGGTGCCCCAGCAGGGGGGGAAGGGCCTGGGCTGGCAGGGGCTCCCGGGTGGCAGGGCTGGAAGGGGTCAAGGCAGCATGTGGGGCTGGGCTCTGGGGCTCCCCCAGACTGGGCGGGGGGTCAGACTGGGGCAGCGTCTGGTAAAGTGGGGGGCACATGTGTCGTGCAGAGCGGGAACGTGTTGTGCAAACCCACCGGCTGCCCGGCTGCCCCCTGCTCGGAGCCCATCCGGAGACCTGGCGAATGCTGCCCGCGGTGAGTGGGGCTGGGGGGAGGGGCACTGCCTGCGGGTGAGTGGGGCTGGGGGAGGGCGCTGCCCGTCGGTGAGTGGGGCTGGGGGAGGGGCGCTGCCCTTGGTGAGTGGGGCCGGGGGAGGGGCGCTGCCTGCGGGTGACTGGGGCTGGGGGAGGGGCGCTGCCCGCCGTGAGTGGGGCTGGGGGGCTGGTAAGGGGGAACACTGCCTGGAGTGAATGGGGGGCTGGGGGCAGGTAGCCAGGTGAGGGGAGGGCTGGGCAGTCCAGGGGGTGCTGTTTGCAGTGGGGGCTGGGGGGCGCCTGTGGCGTCACTGCCCCCACTGTCACGGTGCCAGGGCCGGGGCGCCCAAGCTGCTCTGCCACCGCCTGCCTCGCCCTAGGTGCCAGGACTGCCTCTACGACGCCCAGCCCGTCCCGCACGGCGCCGTCTTCACCCCCCCGCAGGAGCCCTGCCTCCACTGCCGCTGCCAGGTGAGCCGGGCACAGGGCAGGCGCCCCCAGGAGCCCTCTCCATGGGCCACCCCCGGCCCTGCGAAGCCTGGGCCAGCTCCTGTCCCCACAGGCCACGGTGCCCCGGGACGGCACAGCCCCTCCCCAAGGCTGCGGAGGGGGCCGGGACACTGGCTGCGGGGGGGGGGGCACTGGGTGCAAGGGTGGGGGCAATGGCTGCGGGGGGGGGGCCTGGTGGCTGGGCATGGGGCCGTGGCGCGCTGGCGGAGGCTCTGTGCCAGGGGGCAGGAGCGGGGGCCTCTTGCCAACGCCTGGCTGAGCTCTGACCCCTGCCCGCAGGCCGGGGAGGTGTCGTGTGAGCACCTGGAGCAGAGCTGCCCACCCGCGCCCTGCAGTCACCCGGGCACCGCCCAGGGCCAGTGCTGCCCGGCCTGCCACAGTGAGTAGCTGGTGGGGCGGGGGGAGGTGACGATGCGGTTCTGGCGGGACCCAACTGAGAGTGCCAACTCGGGACAAATTGCTTAAACAGGGCAGTTATAGCCCAAGGCCGGGGTTTTTCCACCTCTAAGGCAAACCAAACCAGCCAGACTAGGAGGACTTCGGTCTCACCCCACTGGCTAACCACAAGTCTCACAAGCAATCTCCTTAGACACTCCAGTTTCCCAGAATCACCACCAGTGCCACTCGTTATGGGGACAAATGGTTATGAAAACCAATACCCCAGTAAAAGAAAAAGGTTTTCCTGATCCCAAAGGACCAAGCCCCAGACCCAGGTCAATATACAAATCAGATCTTACCCACAAATCACGCTGTTGCCAATCCCTTAGAATCTAAAATCTAAAGGTTTATTCATAAAAGGAAAAAGATAGAGATGAGAGTTAGAATTAGTTAAATGGAATCAATTACATACAGTAATGGCACAGTTCTTGGTTCAGGCTTGCAGCAGCGATGGAATAAACTGCAGGTTCAAATCAAGTCTCTGGAATACATCCCCCGCTGGGATGGGTCCTCAGTCCTTTGTTCAGAGCTTCAGCTTGTAGCAAAGTTCCTCCAGAGGCAAGAAGCAGGATTGAAGACAAGATGGAGATCAGGCATCAGCCTTATATAGTCTTTTCCAGGTGTAAGAACATCTCTTTGTCCTTACTGTGGAAAATTACAGCAAAATGGAGCCTGGAGTCACATGGGCCAGTCCCTGCAAACTTTGCTGAGTCTGAAGGCATATTTGCCTTCTCTCAATGGGTCCATTGTATAGCTGATGGTCCTTAATGGGCCATCAAACAGGCTAGGCAGAGCTAACACCAGTTTGTCTGGGATGTCACCCAGCATAGCATAAATTTGCCATACAGACAGTATAGAGCCAATATTCATAACTTCAACTACATCACTGATACACACATATAGACAGCATAATCATAACCAGTTACCCATAACCTTGTCTTAGACACCCCATTTGACCCCCTTTATACAAGATTTGGTGCCACTACAGGACCTTGTTTGCAACAATGATCTATATGGTCCCAGTTTATGTCAATAACGTTACAGGGGGGAAGGGCCAGCAAGGGGCCTCTGGAGCCGCTAGCCTCAGAGAGAGACCCTGGCCCTGGCAGCAGGGCATGGGGGGGACGGGGCCCCCAGGGCTTCCCACAGAGCCAGCTCCTACCCCCATCCCCCGGCGCGGGGCCCAAGAACCCCCCCAGGTTACGGGTTGGGCCAGCCTCCAGCGGGGCCTGAGGGGGTTGGGGGAGGGCCCACATCGGAGGCCACGCCTGGCGAGGGGAGCTGTGTGCTCCTCTGTGTCTGGCCCAGGTGTCCCAGCCCCTGCCCTCTGGGCGTCCCTCCTGCTGGCACTTCCCTGTGCCCCTCCTGCCCGGCTGCGCTGGGAGGGGGGCCACGGGGCCCAGCCCATCCAAACCCCAGGGGTTTGAGGGCACTGGGGTCTCTAAGCTGTTGGGGGGGCTCTGAGGAGCTGGGGGCTCTGAGCGGGCAGGGGGTCTCTGGGGGTGCTGGGGTCTCTGAGCAGGCAGGGGGGTGTTTGGGGGTGCTGGAGTCTCTGAGCGGGGGGTGAAGGCAAAGGAGGCCCTCTGAGGGCTCTGGGGTATCAGAGCTGGGGGGAGCTCTGGGGTCTCTGAGCCGGCCTGGGGATCTCCGGGGGTTCAGCTGGGGCTGGCAGGCTGCCCCCTGTGCGGGGCTGTTCACCCGTCTCTCTCCGTGGACAGCGTGTGAGTACGAGGGGCACCTGTACCGGCACGGAGAGACCTTCACGCCCCCGGGCCACGGGCCCTGCGTGCGGTGCACCTGCTCGGTGAGTGAACCAGGGGACTACTGGGATGGTGGGTTGGAGGGGGCTCACCTCCACGTAACCAGCCCCTCCTGGTGCCAGGGGGTGCCCAGCCACGCGGGCACAGAGAGCAGGGGATGTGGGTCACTGACACCAAGCTAGGGCAGAGGGGTGCTGGGCTAGGGGAGGGCGGCTCTGGGGCTGAGGGGGGCATGGGCGGCCCTGGGGCAGGGGCAGACCCGCCGAGGGCGCCATGGCTGGGCTGTGTGGGGACACTGGCACGCCCGGGTCTGTGCCCGCGCACTGCTGACCCTGGCTCTCTCATGCAGGCTGGGCACGTGCAGTGCCAGGAAGAGGGGTGCCCCCCCGTGCCCTGCGCCCAGCCCATCCGGGACCCCCAACGCTGCTGCCCCGTCTGCAAAGGTTGAGTAACGCCCGGTTCTGGGCCAGCCCCGGCCTGCCCCCTGCGTGAGCCAGGGGACATCGCCGAGGCAGTGCGCTGGGTGCTGCCAGCCCACGGGCATTGCCTGGGCTCGCCAGCCCTGGGGCAGTCCCCGGCTGCTGCACCTCTGGGCCTGTTGGGGAAGTCTCCTCGCTCCCCAAGAGCAGGTCATGGGGGGGCAGGGGGCCAGGAGTGCAGGGCCCGGGGGTGGGGGAAGCTGGGAGCGCAGGACCTGGGGGGCGGGACCATAGGGCAGGGCCCTGTGGGGGCCGGGAGCACAGGGCCCTGGGGGGTGGGGCAGGAGGGCAGGGCCCATGGGTGCAGGAGCACAGGGTCGTGGTGGAGGCCTGGGAGGGCCGGGGGAAGCTGGGGGGGCTGAGACTGGAAGGGCTGGGGGGGAGGAGGAGCCAGGGAGGTGTGAGCCGGCTGGGTCCCTGAGGGCTGCGGCAGGGAGGCCCCCCCTCACGGCCTGCGTCTCCCAGTGTGCGTGCTGGCCGGGGAGGAGTTCGAGGAGGGGGCGCAGTGGGAGCCAGACGGGGACCCCTGCACCACCTGTACCTGCCTCGCTGGAGAGCCCGTCTGCGGGGCTCCACCGTGCCCGCCCATCGCCTGCCAGCACCCCGCCCGGCTGAGCGGTGAGTGCCCCCCAACTGACCCTTGCTTCCCCACTCCCCCCACTGAATCCCCCTGCTCCCGCCCGGCTGAGCGGTGAGTGCCCCCCCCCACTGACCACCCCACACACACTGCCCCCTGCTCCCTCCCTCCCCCCCCGAACCCCTCTGCTCCCGCCCGGCTGAGCAGTGAGTGACCCCCACACACACACTGCCCCCTGCTCCCCTCCTCCCCCCACTGAACCCCCTGGCTCCCGTCCGGCTGAACAGTGAGTGCCCCTCCCCCCACTGCCTCCTGCTACCCACCCACTCCTTGTAGAGTGCCCCTGCCCCCCATTGCCCTCCCCGCACTGTCCCCATCCTCCACTGCCCCCTACTCCACCCAGCTCAATGGTGGGTGCCCACCTGGCCCCACCCCCTGAGTTCTCTGGTCCCCCCCAACGCAGAGGTGGCTGCTCAGTGCCCGGTACAGTCCATGCCCCACTGCCCCCCATCCCTGGCTCCGCACCCCTGAGCTCCGGGGGTCTGGTGGCACTGGTCCCATGGCAGACACTGGGTGCTGTGGGTCCAGCCAGCGGGGGCAGCCTGTAGAGCCGGCCAGGTAGTGGCTGGGAGCGACCCCTCAGCACCTCCTGCTGGCCCAGCCCCCGCCTGCCCTGGGACCAGGCCATGGGGTGGGAGGGATCAGGGCACCCCACTGTGCTAACCCGCCTGTCTCTCCTCGGCCAGGGGACTGCTGCCCGACCTGTGCCCAGTGCGCCTACCACCAGCACGTCTACGCCAACGGGCAGGCCTTCGCCGACCCTCACAGCCCTTGCCAGCGCTGCCAGTGCACGGTGAGGGGGCTGCCCCCGGAGCAGCCCCTCCCCGCTGGCCGCAAGCACAGACCCCCCCAGTGCCAGGCTGCAGCCTCATGCCCCCATGCTCCCCCGAAGGGTACCTGTGCCTAGGGTACGGAGCCCAGCACGGGGCCGGAGCTAATGGGGGGTCTGAGCCATGCTCAGCTGGGGGCCCCACAGGGTGGGTCGGGGGAGGCTGGTAGCGCAGGCCCTGGGGGGGATCCGGGGTTGGGAGCAGAGTGGGGGGGGGCCCTGCGGGGTGGGTCGGGGGAGGCAGGGAGCACGGCCCCGGGGGTATCCGGGGTCAGGGGCAGAGTAGGGTGGGGGTGTGTCTGGAGGCCCCGCGGGGTGGGGCGGGGGAGGCTGGGAGCGCAGGCCCTGGGGGGATCTGGGGTCGGGGGCAGAGCGGGGGGGCGCCCTGGGGGCCCCGTGGGGTGGGCTGGGGGAGGCTCTCGGGAGCTGCCATGACCTGGCCCCCTGCCCACAGGCCGGGACCGTGCAGTGCTCGCCTGTCGCCTGCCCCCCGCCCAGCTGCCCCCGCCCGGAGAGGCAGCCCGGCCAGTGCTGCCCCACGTGTCCGGGTGAGTGGGCCGCTGAGGGGCTGGGCGCTCCTGGGTTCCCTACCCAGCTCTGCTGGTGAGACCCAGCCCTAAACGGGGAGATGGCGCTGAGCTCCCCCCACACGCCCCCAGAGAGCCTGGTTCCCCAGGGGACTCCCCTGCCCCTTGCAGAGGCAGCGAATGGCCACCAGAGGGCACTGTGACCCCAGGGCACTGCCGTAGTGCAAACGTGCGGGGCTGGGGGGAGGGGCACGGGGCCGGTGGCCCCCTCGGAGCTCCCTGGGGGGCACGGGAGGCACCAGCACCTCTGCGGGGGCTGCAAACAGTGGTGGGGCTGGGGTGAGGGAGCCAACCCTGGGGGGCTGGGCCTGAGGCCCCGTCACACCGAGCAGCTGCCTGATCCCAGCCAGGGGGGCAGGATGGGAGGGGGCAGGGCAAGGCTGGGGGGGCAGGACAGGGTGAGGGTCGTTGGTTGCTGACGTCTGCCCCCCACCCCAGGCTGCAGTGTGGAGGGGGCCGCGGTGGCGACGGGCGAGCGGTTCCCCAGCCCGCGGGACCCCTGCCAGCTGTGCATCTGCACCGACGGGGTCGTCAGCTGCTCCTCCCGCGACTGCCCTGGTGCCCTGTGCGCCCGCCCCCTGCCCGGCTCCTGCTGCCAGAACAACTGCAATGGTGAGGGGGTCCCGCACCCCGATCCCCTGCCTGCGGGGGCCACGGGCCAGTCCCCCCCCACCCCAATCCCCTGCCC